GAGCTCAGTGCTGGTGTGTGTAGTGAGACAGCTTGCTCATATGGGACCTCCTGCTGTAAATTATTCATGCTCAGGCAGACTGACCATAGAGCTGGTCACACACGTGTAGTTTGAGTGAATGGAAACGTCAGCCTTGACTTGCAGTCAAACTAACACACGCTGCTGACCTGTTGGACTGAAAGGAAGATCTCGGCAGACCTTTTTATGGCAAAGATTATCATAGTTATGGTCAACCAATATGTTTTTTTAAATGGCCAATGTTTATATTACTGATATCTGCAGAGCATGGTGGCAAAGGCTGGCATAATACAATTTAATAACAGAAGCGAATGCTTATATTGCACAATATTTGCTCACAATTTGCTGAAGACAATGTTATGTTATGTAAATGACTTGCTGGTCGATTTAGAGGCGAGAACATGAAACCATGATAGAGATGGTGTTTTGCATGTGGCCGTTTGAGATGAATGGCTCAGCTGTCCTCATAATTTGGTTTGTGATGGATTATCAAAAGGTTATATTATAATGTGGAGCATTGTTCCGGTTGCTCTTTTGCTGATTGTGGAAAAAATGTGGGACTTACAGTAAAACCTAGGATAAATTCTTATTGGAAGCAGCATTTGTAAACTTAATTCAGAAAAAAAAAGAAATTAAATAAAATAAAAACCTTAAATCTATTTTATTTCAGCTAGTTTCCAAGGAAACATTTATCATTTATTAACTTGTAGTAAAAAAATAAAATAAAGATGAATGAAAACAAAAAACATAGACATATTTAAAAAGAGAGTAACTAATAAAAATAACAGAAACCCAAAATTAATATATATATATATATATATATAGTAAATCGTTTTTGAAGTATAGTTTAAGTGTATATAATAAAAATGACAAAACCACACAGCAAAACTGCTAAAACTTTTACTTAAATAAGTGCAAATAAAAAAATAGATAATAGAAAAAATATAAAAACTATTATACTTTATACATAAAATGACCCCAAAAAAATTTACTATTAAAAATGCAATATATTGTATTTTTATTGCAATGATACGAATATAACACTAATGATGTTAAAAAAAAATGACAAAACCACACAACTAAATTTAAATAATAGAAAATAGATCAATAAAAAGTAATACAAACTATTATGTGACTCAATAATACCAAAAAACATTGATTGTGCTTCGAAAATCCAACCAGAGCAGAAGGAAACCCCTCTACTATGAAAGACACAATCAGCGCATTTGTCTTTAGTTAATCAATGCTGTTAACTAGAGGAAAGTCAACAGAAACTCGTTCTCTTCAGATGCTTTGGCCCTTTGTCACCTGGGTGGGTGGCTTTGGGGCCACACAGTCATATAGTGAAGAGCCAGCCATGTGTTCTTTACCATCACCCATCAGAGGTTTCCTGCAAAGATGATGCTCAGAGGTCAAAGTAAAGGTGTCTGTCTGCTGTTGTGGCTTTTGAATGGTGCATCGATTAGATGAGATGCCCATCCTGTTTGGAGGAAAAGCCACTGTTTGCGTGCAACAAATTTAGCTTTGTGGCATTGAATTTTTCCACTGTATTTCTAGTGGCCTGTGGGTGCTTTTGTGGCTATATATGTAAAAATAGACAAAGAAATCTGACTACATTTGAGTTTAGTCATGAAAAAAGAATGTTTATTCTGAGATAAAAATATTGTATCTTTAATTTCGAGTTACTGTGATACATTTCTGTGGCATTGCATTGACAGTGTGAATATAATTTCACGATGGCTGTTGACTGTCAGTCCAGACATGTCATTCAGGATGTTGACATGAACTAAAGATATAAATGGCTGACGTAATTAACAGAAGCTGTTGATACAGCACACGCTCTCCAGAGCTGAATGCTTAATGTCTTACTGTTTTAATAGGAAGCCAGTGTGTGTCACATGGTCCCACAGATGCTGTAACCACTCGTTTCCTCACTGGCAGGAGGAACATTAGGCCCATATTGAATTAGACCAACTGCTCTGATACCAGGTGCAAAACTATTTGAATGAAACAACCAGACACCTTTATAAAGGCCTGCCGGTGATGCTGAATCTCCCTGCTGCTCGTTTTATCAGTTCTGTCTGGCAGTCTGGACTGACATGTCTTGCATAACATATCTGTTTCTCTGATCGTTGAAATGGTATATAATAACCTACATTAGCATTAATGCTATGCGGATGACTTACACATTTGAATTAAGTGCACAGAGAGCTCCTCGGTTTAGTCTACCCTGCTTTTATGCCACATTTACCATGTTTTCTAATGGAATACTAGCGGACTGTACAAATATGTTATATAATATGAATGGTTGTTGAGCGATATATATCAGCAAGGCCGATATATCGGCCGATATTTTGCAAGTTTTTCCTGATAAGCAGCTTTTATTTTGACAGTGATGCGCTCTATCCAGTTTGCCAATATGTCATATTCATGTCATTTGTCACGGCACTGTATGTTACATTTGC